GCTATATGAATTTTTTTACATGAATTTTATACATATCAAGGGTTTGGTTAGTTACTATAACACAAAATGTAGTAAGTACAATAAGTACAGTAAGTATAATAAGTAAGTTAGTACAATACAAAATGCGTTCTCTGAAATCCTTTATGTGGGGCCTTAAATTACACTAATTAGGTACAGAAATTTGTTAGGACAAGGTAAACTTTTGGAAAGATCATCTGAGATATCACATTCCAGTCTGATTACATGACAGATTAATGACAAATTGAATTAATTACATTTTACACTGTTATACTGTATAGAACTTTCATATATCTGAAAATTAATGCTATAAAATACCATATAAATATGGAAATATTTAATTCCAGTAATTTTTCTGAGAGTAACTATCATTTGGGTAGCACATCAAATTTTGTTTATTTTGTTGCCCTTTTACTTTTTTTTTTTTTTTTTTAAAGATGACCAGTAAGGGGATCTTAACCTTTGACTTAGTGTTGTCAGCACCACGCTCTCCCAAGTGAGCTAACCGGCCATCCCTATATAGGGATCTGAACCTGTGGCCTTGGTGTTGTTAGCATCACACTCTGCCAAGTGAGCCATGGGCCGACCCACCTTTTACTTTTTGAAACTAAGTTATTAAATCACAAACTTTAAGAGCATGTGAGAGAAAACTGAAATGGAAACCCCAACTGAAGAGACTTTTCTATGCTAAAAATTCCTTATTTACATAGGTTATTTACAAAAACACACTGATTTATGGTGTTCCAGGAGTTACTTTAAAGCTTTGAATTGTTAAAACTTCCCATATTATCAGTCTGTGTCCTATAGAAATGTTACCACATGTGCACAAAGGAAAAGGAATGTTTGTAGCACCATTGTTTACAGTAAAATTAGCAACAACCTCTGTGTATATCAATTATGGTAAATACATGATTGAATACTATGCAACAATTAAATAGAATGTAAAAGGTCTGTATACCAATATGGAAAGGTGTTTTTGATAAACAGAATGAAAAAAAGCAAGTTACAGAATAGTGTGTCCCACTTGTGTTAGTTAAGAAAGCCAAAAAGGGTAAGTTTATAGAAAAATATCTGTTAGGTTAAGAACCATAGTGTTTACAGTTTTTCTCTGTGTGCTGAAGGGAAGAATAAGAAGAAGGACTTATACTTTTTTTACATTTGAATTTTGTATGACTCTATTTTACTTTTGTAATATCAAGAAAATAAAGAGATCAACATTTCGCCGGAGAAACTCTTCACTGCTGATAAACAGGATAGTGGTCATATCTTGTCATCAAAGATAAGAATGACTGTAAAATGACTGTAAGTCTTAGTTGTTTGGCTGACTTGTGACCTACCTAATACTGTGCTTATTTCTTTCCATAGCATTATAGCCTTCAGAAAGGCCAACAAAGTGGGTATTTTCATCAAAGTTACCCCACAACGTGAGGAGGGTGAAGTGACCGTGTGCTTCAAGATGAAACATGATTTTAAAAACCTGGCAGCCCCTATCCGCACCATCGAAGAAAGTGATCAAGGCACAGAAGTCATCTGGCTCACCCAGCATGTAGAACTCAGCTTGGGCCCACTTCTTCCTTAAAAAGTTCCACAGGCGGGCAGATCCCAAATGACAGTGTCACCATAAACTCGCATTAAGATGTGGAAGCCACTGCTTCATTAGGCCTTGTTTATAATGATGTACTCATGCACTACTGAATCCTATTCCTAGGAAGGTGGAAGCATAGGGCAGGCATTAGGAACACAGGGTAAATTCTGTTCCTCTTGCTGTCACCCTTGTTGACATCAGTAAGTCTGTGTCTCCCTCACTGAGCCCTGCACGTTGAATAACAGCAGCATAGTTCCATCCCAGTAAAGGGGATGGCTGTTCTTTGGAGTGGCATTATCTGACCATCCTATCTCTCGATCTGATCTCACAAAGGATCACAGTCTCACAGATGAAACTTAAAATGGTAACCCAAAGGTGGACCTGCTATTAATGATCCAGCATTGGTCTCAATGTACCGACTGCTTTCTGCATTCCATTAAGTATAATCTAGCAATCTAAAACATATCCCTTCACTTGTCATTGTGGCTCCCATTTTGCCATAGATTTCCATTTGACAGAAAAATAGAATTGTCACCTTGTTTTGTGATGATTGGAAAAACTTGTGAAATTCTTAAGGCACTCTTACTTGCCTTCTTCTAAGGGAATACAGGACACTTATCAGTTGCTCTTAAATTTTTTCCCAGTAGAATATGGAACTTTGAAGAATTTGAGAAGCAAGCAATTCCACGTCATGTCAAGGGGGTAGCAAATTCCATTCATTTTAAATATTGCCACCATATCCAGGGGTCAGTGCTGCCACAGTGAGGCAATCCTTATATCAAGTCTTACTCCCTACTCCTTCTCTGCCTCTTTGACTCTTTGGGACCTGGAAAGAACACAAAGAAAACCTGAGTGGACAAGTTCACTTCTAGAATGCAGAAAACATTTTAAAGTTTAGATTGTTAGCATGATCTAAACTAGTGTTTTTTTCCACTGATTGTTGAAGGGAAAATTAACTATTGTAATCTTTTGAATCTGAAACTGGATATTAAGAATAAGAACTTTTTCCCTTACTGAGTTTAAGATTTTTGTCATATGGTATATCAAATAAGACCATTTTGATTGTAAACCATATAATAGTTTAGCAAGTAGCCCAGAATACTGGCTTAACAGCAGACATGCTGTTTTCACTTGGTATCCTGGAGTTGGTTGCTAACCTTAACTTCTGTGGTATTTTCTAAAATGAGACTTGACAAAAGTAGACCACCAGCTGCACCACATTTTCTGTAAAAGTATTGTTAGTAAGTGGCCAACAGACTTCAGAAGAAGAGAATTTTCCTGTTTACCCTGATTTTGCTTTTAATTTTAAGACTTTAGTTTAAAAAATAAATATACTAACCTAGAATACAGACAGGACATAGTTCTTATCAGCTCCCCTTGAAAAATGAAAATAGGGAGCTTTTGAAAGACACTAAATTGTACTCTTAAGGTTAGACTGGTTTTATGAAACAATATTCCCATAGAGTAAATATATGCAGCAGTGTGAGAAAAAAATACTCATCTCTAATAAGGTTTAGCCTCTTAGGAGTTGGGGCAGAGGGATGGGTGATTACAAATCTGCAGACTATAGAAAGAGTGTAATTTTTTGTGACCCCACAGAGTGTCAAATTAATTTTTATTTCACTACCTGCTAGAGCCTTCTGTGAAACCACTGCTTCATATTTGTCAGTGGGGGAAACGGGCATCAAAGTAGAGCATAGCTTCATATGTTTACACATTTGCATAGACTACACACAGTTGTACGTCATGCATTTGTGGCATGTAGCTTGTATTTGTTCCTCAAAGTAATAATGTTCAAGTAGTGGGTCTCATTAGTCTTGTGTGGCACAGACAAAAAAACACTTCTGATCATAAAATTCCTTTTTTCTTCAGAAGCCAGAATTAATTTACAGAATAACAGAGCCCTTGGTTTAATGTTTCCTCAAGATAGGTTTTAGTGCAAGCTGGTATTCTGTGTGTTTGTAGAAATGGTTCAATTTTGTTCCTCAAAGTAATAATGTTCAAGTAGTGGGTCTCATTAGTCTTGTGTGGCACAGACACAAAAACACTTCTGATCATAAAATTCCTTTTTTCTTCAGAAGCCAGAATTAATTTACAGAATTACAGAGCCCTTGGTTTAATGTTTCCTCAAGATAGGTTTTAGTGCAAGCTGGTATTCTGTGTGTTTGTAGAAATGGTTCAACACCTGCAGCTGGTCAATTAGGATTTTTATTTGTTGCCTTTTTTAATTAGATCAAGTGCAAGATTTTTAATTCTAGTCATTGTCCACCACAGGAGAGTTAGATGTCATTAGCACTTGAAACTACAGTTTTGGAAACTTAAGGCTGAGTTAATTTGGATTTGTGATTTGATTCATCCTCCAAAGTTTTCTTCTGTTCAAAGTGCTTATAGGCATAATGAGCTAAATGTCATGCATATTTGTGAAGAAACATTCATTTTGGTCCCTTTTGGGAATGAGAAGCACTCCTTGACCTTTATGAATGACAGGTTACTGTTTTGCCTTATTGCTTAACTTAATGTAGTGAAATAAAGCAGACAAAGCTTGAGTGTGTCTTTTGTTTGGTTTCATGAAGACTGATTGGAAGTAGTATGGCTCAGAGTCAGAAGATGGGGTGGAGTTAAGAGAGTTAGAATATGACAGTCAGTGGGGCATGTTCCCTTCTATTTCTTTGAATGGACTAAGCTGAAACCTCATATCAGGTTGATTTGTTATAACATTATATAGGTAGGTGTTGCTTGAGCTCCTTTTATACATGTTCTCGGAGCATTATATAAATGTTGTTAGGCCTCTACCAGCTTTTATCCTGCATCATCGCTCCCAAAGATTTCCTTTCAAATACACAAAATGGTTTAACCTCCACAAGTGGTCACTCACCCACCTTCATCTGTCCCATATAACTCTTCCTTCCCTCCTGTTACTGTAGATGAATTATTCATACTCCTCCTGTCTAAAGCCAGCCCCATCTCTTAACACTCAGTCTCATCCTCTTACCTACTCAAGGATGTTGGTCAGCAGTTCTCCCCTTCCTCGCCTGCATTGTTTCTATCACATGTTATCTCATTCTAAAGAAATTGACCTCACACTACTCAGCTGCCACCCATTACTCCGTTTACATCAGAACTCCTAACTCTGCCTTCCAGTTCCTCCTCGCATTCTCACCTGAACCTACTCCAGTTAGGCTGTCACCCCCACCACTTCATCAAATTGCTCTTGTCAAGGTTACCAACAAACTCCACGCTGTTAAATAACAACAGTCAATTCTCTAGAGAGTGGCTTCCGGGGCTAGGGCCCGTGGGCTGCGGCGGTGCCGGGACCAGTAGCCAGAGTGGAGTTGGCCAGGAGGGGCCGATGGGAGGCCGAAGAAGGCTGCACCGCTCAAACCTGGGGTTCCTCAGACTCCCGTGAACAAGATTGATGAACATTTTGTTGCAGATTCAAGAGCCCAGACCCAGCCCTCGTCTGTCTGTAGCACTGCATCTTCCACACCAGCAGCTGTCCCCGTGCAGCAGAACAAGAGGGGTACCATGGGCTGGCAGAAGGCTGGGCACCCGCCACCTGATGGCCAACAGAGAGCAAGTAAGAACAGGCACAGGTTGTCTGATTTGCACAAATCTGCTAACCGCAAGAACCATAATATAAAACCTAATCTCTGTATGTCAAACCCCTCATCTTCCTCCTCTTCTTCTTTTTCTTCTTCCAACTCAGCACAACAGGGCTCTCTCAGGACCTTGCTTGGAGATGGTGTTGGCAGACAGCAGCCACGGACCAAACAAGTGTGCAACATGGAGGTGGGTCTTCAAACCCAGGAGAGGCCACCTGCCATGGCGGCCAAGCACAGCAGCAGTGGACACTGTGTTCAGAACTTTCCTCCGTCCCTGGCTTCAAAACCCAGCCTGGTCCAGCAGAAACCAACCGCATATGTGCGGCCGATGGACGGCCAAGATCAGGCTCCTGATGAATCTCCAAAGCTTAAGTCATCTACAGAAGCCAGTGTGCACTGCACGTCATACAGGGGGGTCCCAGCCAGCAAGCCGGAGTCAGCCAGAGCCAAGGCCAAGCTTTCCAAGTTCAGCATCCCCAAGCAGGGGGAGGTGAGTCTTCTCCCAATACCACTTATGTGCAACTCAGTAATTATAAGTGACTGCTCGACTGTTGTGAATTCAGTTTCCATGTTTCTTTTTTTCAGAGATGTGGCTGATTTCTTGTGCTAGAATTTGTAGCAGTCACTAAAGGGGGAGGCAAACATGAATAATATTTTTGTAAAATCTCAAATTTATTATCATTGCAATTTTTTAGGTACCAAGTGCAGGGGTGTGTGTGGGTGTGTTGAGGAAGGAATGCCTCTTCATTATATTTCAAGGGATTTTTATGAATAAGCCAGTGTTGACTGAGATACTACATACTAGAAATAAAAGCACTTCAAAGGCTATAATTTTTAATATGTAAAGAGATTAATTTTCATGTAAAAGAGTTTGAAAACTCAACATTTTTGTCAGTTTTGAAATAGCTCAGGACAAATTTCACAGAATAAAACTCATAATAATTTTTGAAGTAATTGTTTAAATGATTCAATATTGAATACGGTGAATATTCATATGTATCAGATATCCCATCCATATTATAATATTTAGATCCAGGTTCATTCATGTTAATCATAATTCTTACTCGAACTCTCCTTGTCCTATAGAAGTGATCTTTGATTATATGAGAAAAGTGAAACATTTTAGTTCGTAATCTTCTGGTTGGCATTCTGATTTTATTCTAAAGTATTCATTGCATTACAGCATGTATGGCGTGGGTGTATTGAGTATTAGAGTTCTAAAAAAGCAAGTCATAGAGTTATGGAGATGGCAAAGATGCACTGACTAGTCACGTGAAGGCTAAATCTGGGTGGAATGAAGTTTTGTTTTAGAGAAGTGCATCTCATATTATATAACAAATTGATGATAGTCATCAAGAACACATGAAGAAGAAATACGATTGTGTACCTTTGTTGTTTTGTTGTGTTATGGTATACTAACTAAAATAAAGTGTGAGTTCCAGAAAAAAAAAAAACAGTCAATTCTCAGTCTTTATTTATGTGACCTTTCAATAGCATCTCTTTCCTTCTTGAAAGACTTTCTTTACTTGGTTTCTGGAACACAACACTCTTGGTTTTCCTTCTAACTTACCGGAAACTTTTCTTTATGTTTTGCTAGTTCTTTCCCATCTTTCCAACCTTGCAGCGTACCAGGTCTCATTTCTTAACACTTCTTTTTTCTCTATGCTCACTCTTAATGATCTCACCCAGTTTTCAGGCCACCTCCCAAATTTAAATACCAATTCTGTCCAAAACCACAGTCTGGATTTTCTCTCACCACATCTGCCTCTTCTGCAGTGGTCCCTAACTAAATGGCAACTGTATCCTTTCAGTAGCTCACAACAAAAACATTGGCTCCTCTTACATCCCACATTCAATATATCAGCAAATCCTAGCAACTCTGTCTTCAAACTCTGACCACTTCACACCATCTCCAACATTACTACCTGGGCCAAGTCACCATCATCTATATAGACCCCTAGATTATCATCACAGTAGCATACAAACTGGTCTTGAAACCACCCTGGTCTCTACACCCCCACCCCTTAGTCAATTTTCAACACAGTAGCCAGAGTGATTAAGTCATTTCTCTGGCTAAAGTCCTTGAAAGTCTTCTTGGTTTGCTCAAGACAAAAAGAAAAAAATACACAAAATCCTAACAGTACTGTATGAGGTCCTATGTGAACTGAAACTCACCCTCCACCCCACCCAGCCTCCTCCTCCTCCTCCCCCCCCATGTTCACTCTACCCAGTTATACTAGCCTCCCTGCTGTTCCTGAGTCACCCCAGGCAGGATCCCTCTCAGGCCCTTTGCACTGACTGTTCTTTTTGCCTGGAAAGCCCTTTCAGACATATGCATGGTTCATATCCCCACCACAGTCAGGTCTTTTCTCAAATATTTCCTTCTTAGGCTTTTCCTGACCACCCCATTTAATAATGCAAATTGCCTTCCCCTGAACATTCCCTACCTCTTGTTTGCCTCATTTTCTTCCCCACAGCACTCGTCACCATCCAACATACTATACTATATACTTGTTTTCTGACATTCTAAGAAAAAAACTGCATTAGGGCAGGGATTTTGTCTTTTTTTTTTTTTTTTTTTTTTTTAACTGCATGTCTGGCAAATAGTAGGCAACCAATATTTGTTGAATAAATTAACATCATTCTTTTCCTTATTTATGTAGCTGTTGGTATTTTTTTAAATAGAATTTACTTTTTAGAGGACTTTCAGGTTCACAGCAGAACTGAGTGGAAGGCACAGAGATTCTCCATGACTCCTGCCTCCACATATATGCACAGCCTCCCTCATTGTAAACATCCCCCACCAGAGTGGTACATTTGTTATAATGGATGAACCCACACTGACACATCATTATCCTGCAGAGTCCATAGTTTACATTGGAGTTCATTGGTGGTATACATTCTGTGGGTTTGAACAAAAGTATTTGGACATGTATATACCAATATAGTATCATACAGAATAGTTTCACTGCTCTAAAAATTCTCTGGATTCTGCCTGTTCATCCCTCCCTCCCTCCCACCCCTAGTAACCACTCATCTTTTTACTGTGTCCATAGTTTTACCTTTTTTCAGAGTGACATAGTTGAGATTTGCTGTAGATTGAATGTCCCCCACAAACTCACTGAAGCTTAAATTGTGTCCCCCAAAGTTCCAGGTATTGGAAGCTTGGCCCCAACTGTGACTGTTGGGAGGGTGGGAAATCCTATTATGGTAATTGGAAGGTGGGGCCATAAAGAGGTGATTAGATCATGAGGACCCTGCCATAATGAATGGATTAATAATGGTGGTCATGGGCATGGTTCTGAGGGCTTTAAAAGGAGAGTGCATGAGGAGCTGTCTCTCTCTGCTCTGCCATTCTCGCCATGTGACACCCTGTGTTGCTGTAGAGTCACCTCACCAGATGTGTTCCTTGGACTGTGGACATCCCTGCCTCCAAAACTGTGAGCAATAAATTTCGTTTTCTTACAAAGTAACCAGTTCCAAGTTGTATTAGTCTGTTTCTGTTGATTATAACAAAGTGCACAGAACTATGTATTTTATAAAGAAAATGAAATTTATTGCTTATGAAGCTAGGAAGTCCAAAGTCCAGGGAACACATCTGGTGAGACTTGGTGGTGGCAACAGTGATAGCAGAGTGTCACATTGCAGAAAATGGTGGAGCAGAGACAGAGACTAGCCTCTTCATTCACTCTCCTTTTAAAGCCCTCCGAACCACACCCCTGACCACCATTATTAATCCATTTACTACAGCACGGTCTTACAATCTAGTCACCTCTTCAAGGCCCCACTTTTCAATTACCATAATAGGATTTCCCACCCTCAACAGTTACAGTGGGAATTAAGTTTTGGAGGGGCATACAACCCAAGGCATAAGTATTTTGTGGTAAGCAACAGATACAGACTAATACAGGATTATACAAGTATGTAGCCTTTTCAAACTGGCTTCTTTCATTTAGTAATATGCATTTAATATGCTTAGTACTAATATTCACTTATAATATACATTTAATATGCTTTTCATGGCTTGATAGCTCATTTCTTTTTAGCAGCTGTTCATCCTTTTTCTTTTTTAAAAAATGTATAGCATGCCTTTTTTGTCAAAAGCCAAATATATCTTCTTACTTGCTTTGTGCTTTCTTGTTATGGTGTTTTCTCTAGAATACTCTTTCCTTTCTCTGTACCTTCTCCAGGATTACTTCTCTGTTCCCATCTCTTCCTTATTCCCATCTAGATGCGATCTTAATCCACAGCACTCTACCTCCCCAGGGCATTTACCTCTTTCTTCATTGTATTGTGGGGAGTTGTATGTTTGTAACTCCTTTCCTGGATTGCAAACTCCCTGAGAGCCAAATCCAGGCTCCTTCCTCATCTGTTTCTCCTATACCCTGTTCAAAGGGCATCCTAGAGCAAACTCTAAAATTCAGATCTGTCACTTTTTGCATTGCAATACTTTATTCTCATTTTCTGATGGTCAAGAACATTAATAGTACTGTATGGTGAAGTTATATTTCACAATGTGAGACACCTATACAAGATAGTAACTTTAAGTGTAAAATGAAAGTAACACTACACAAGATCGTAACTTTAAGTGTAAAATGAAAGTAATTAATGAAATAATAATATGGAATCAAACAGTGAGAAAGCCGTTTCCTTCTCATTCGCATGTCCTCCCCCTTTCAGCCTTTCTGGTTAAATCAAGGAAAGAGAAGTATCAGTACAATAGTAGCACTTACTGAATAACATTGTTTCATTTTCACTGTACTTGTTTTTAGGGCTACATCTAAGAATGTGATACTGATTATCCATATATAGAAGAGGTAGAAATGTTCTTCTTAAAATAAATTTAATAAACAAATGGGACTATATCAAACTAAAAAGCTTCTGCACAGCAAAAGAAACAATTAACAGAGCTAAAAGACAACCAACAGAGTGGGAGAAAATATTTGCAAAATACACATCCAACAAAGGACTAATATCCAGAATATATAAAGAACTCAAACAACTTTACAAGAAAAAAACAAGCAACCCAATCAAAAAATGGGCAAAAGAGCTAAGCAGGCATTTCTCTAAAGAAGATATACAAAAGGCCAACAGTCATATGAAAAAATGCTCAACATCACTCAGCATCCAGGAAATGCAAATCAAAACCACACTGAGATACCATCTCACCCCAGTTAGGATGGCAAAAATCCAAAAGACACCGAAAGATAAATGCTGGCATGGCTGCGGAGAAAAAGGAACTCTCTTACATTGTTGGTGGGAATGCACAATGGTGCAACCCCTATGGAAAATGGTTTGGAGGTTCCTCAAACAATTGAAGATAGATCTACCATATGACCAGCTATCCCACTGCTGGGAATATATCCAAAGAA